ATTTCCTTTTTTTCTTAATTCTATTTTTATGTGTTTGTTTGTTTGTTTGTTTGTTCGTTTGTTTGAAGTAAATCTATCTGTTACATCTGTCAGCCAAATTCTTCTTTCGGTGACACTGGTGTGAGTATAACTAACAAAATAATTTAGCTTGATATCTTTACCTCCATGAAACTATCATTCATAATGTTCTTCTAAAGTCCAACATATAGTCTTCCTGATAATATAATCATCACACTGTTTATTGCTATTACAATAAAAATACAATTTGATTTTTTAAGTCACAGCAGATATTAGTCGAACATAGCTTAGCTCTTTAAGTGCTTTGGGCATAATAGCTAATCAATCATATTTAATCAATATGGTAGTCAGTCATGCAGATTCCCTTGTCTAAAATTTCAGTTTATTCAGGTAATCTTTGGTCTCAGTAAATTTTTCATCATTTTTAACAGCCAGAATCGACACAGAAACAAATGGACTATGAAAATGATAGTCTACAATTTGTAAAATAAATTCATATTTGTATATCATTGTGTTCAATCTTTTTCATTCTTTTAAATGTATTTGACTTGAAAAATATTTCTCCTCAACTGACCCCACTTCGCATCAAAATCCATAGGGAATGTTGCAATTTACTTCAAAAGTAGGCAAGATCAGGCATCAATATCTCCATTTAATGCATCAGTTAAGGCACTGAGTTGGATACAAATATTTAATGAAGTAAAGGTCTTTACACTCAGTTTCTATCCACACTCTAGGTTGTGGCAAATACAATGATTTCAAAACCATAAAGGCTTTAGCTTAAATATTAAGCAAAAGCCTCCACAAGCACAGTTTGGGAATCATAGTCACATAAGAATATTAGCTGTTCTTTTCAAATAAAGTTAAAAGGTGACAATGTGTCTCCTATTGTTTGGCTATTCATTGCTTGTGCTGCTAGTGAATAATCAGTAGTATATTTGTTCCAGTTTGTTTGAAAACTATTGAAATACATAATTAACCATTAAAGCCTAGAGTAAACAGTTGAATGTGACATTTGCTTTCTTTCATTTTAAATAGCTTGAAATGTGCATCACAGTGGAAGAACAGCATGACATTAAAAGCACAATCTATCTCATTCTCTGTGGTTCTTTTTAGGGACTTTCTGAAAAGCATTGTTTTGCACTCATTCCAAAAGATAAACAAGCTATATCTTTTGTAGTTATCAAGAGATATGTTTACTTAGTTCTAAAGATAAAAGGAAAGAAAAAATATTGACACCTAGGACATGTCTGCACCAGATGAAGTTCAACTAGGTGATCATGCTAAAGAATAAATTGCTTTCAACCATTTGTTGGGTGTGTGGAAAGAGCCTTACACGAGACATATTTATTGTTTGGACAAGAGAACATTTTACAGGGGAGTCTGATGTGCTACCATCTGATCTTTAATTAGAGTGGAAACTTGGTAGAGTAAATTAATTTTGTGTTTTCATTTCAGCTGAAATGGTGCATTAAGGACATGATCCAACATACACTGAAGTTAGTGGAAAGATTTCCACTGGCTTCAGTGGGCACTGGATCTGCTCCAACATATTGCGGACTCCTCCCTGTTTAGTCCATAGTGGAAATTCAAATCAAACTTGGATATATTAAGATAAATTTAAGCCATGGATTTATTTAGCTTTGAAACTGAAATTGGCCAATGCTGCTAGCTTGGGGGGGGGGGGCGGAGGAATAATGAAGCAGGTCTAATCTCATTCTAGATTTCAGTCAGAAATTGATCGTAGCTCTTCACAAAACGAAAGGAAGAGCAACCAGCATCTGCTGAGAGAAGGACAACTAAGACCACAGCTTCTACATGGCTTCTGAGTCAGGGGAGGTAAAAGGCAGCTCCACAGCCAAATGCCTTTCACAATGTGACCTCCAAAAGTCTCACCTTAGTTTTTAAATATTGTAAGATTATTAATTTTACCACTATATTTCAGGCAGATGATAAAAACTGAAGGTTCAACCAAGCAATCTTAACTGTCTTAATGAAAAAATGACAGGAATACAATCCTCTCTCACAGGCTTCATCAGTAAAGGTGATGCTGAACAACTGAAGTACTCTAAGAGCTCATTTTATTTTGCCATCTCCTACAGGGTCACACTAAGAGAAATGTTGTAAGAAGTTGGGACAGAGTGCTGGGCAACAGCAGCTGATCTGGCACTCTGATCACGGCAACTTAAATGAATTGCCCCATGCATACCTGAATATGGGAACTATGACAAACTGATAGATTGAAGATGGGAGACCTCTGTCAGGATAATGCTGTGTTCTATGGCAAAGTACCATAGCTAGATGACCTCTTGACACAATGATAGCAATCTGTCCTCACCTCTAGCCCCCTCCCCCCTTGGCTGTTCAGGTAGAAGACTGCCACCATATTGTCTGATGTGGCCAGGATTGTCTGACTGCAAATGTCCAGAAGAAAGGCCACACATACCTTGTATACAACCCTGAGTTCTAGAACATTGGTTTTCAAAGCCCTCTGAATTATAGACCCTAAGACTTGCTCTGTGAGATTGCTTATATTGGCCACCCACCTAAAGGTGGAGGCCTCTGTGATTATGGTCCTTGAGGGTGAATTGGGACTGTGTGGGTCTCTTTTTGCACACAGTGCTTTGGTCCTTCCACCAGTCCAGTGACTGGAAGACTGCCAGAAGGAGATGCACCATCTTATCCAGGTGGTGTTTGCCTGGGCAGTAGACCAACAACAGACAGACCTGAAGCTGCTGGAAGTGGAGCCTTGCCTGTGGGCTGATGAACTTGCAAGCTGCCATAAGACCCAGTGTCATGAGTCAGAATCGTGCTTGCATCAGAAGGCATGGCTATCTGTCATATCCAACAATGACATCATGGCATCTCCTGTGTTCTTGTGGCTGTATAGTCTGATCTGCGAGGAGAAAGGTCATGAACAGATGTCACATAGGCTACACTGTCACTTCACCATTTGCCCATTGTCACAGGCCTTTCTTATTTAATGATGCATGAATGCCTGTGTGTGAAGATTTTTAAATGCGAAGACCATTGCTCAGATGCAATCTCACACTCCCAGTTGCTGCAGTCGAAGACCAGTGGCAAAAAAGGTCGCAACAACTGGCAACTTCATTAGCTGCAGTGGATAGCCTTTGATGTCTGCTGTGCCTTGCCAAGCCGTACGTATTTCACAATATGTTGTTGCAGTGCCTTTCCTGCCCTTCAACCTAGAGGTCTCTATCACCCTGTTGGCCAAAGTAGCCTTAGTATGCTGGGGAAAGACATTTCCCCGCACGGTTACCTTCTAACTGGTTTAGCCCACCAGTCAAATCGGTGTCCTGAGGTGTGGCTGCTGACACAAATAAGCAGCTACTTGGAGCCAGAAGTGAGAGCTGGATGGAAAGGGAGGACCAGTGAAAGTACTACTCGAAGAGTGCAATTGTTCTGACTTGGTACTACCTCTCTTTGTAGACCCCATATGCTGCCCTTTATATCCTCACCGGAATGCACAAGAAGAAGATGGGCACATGCACTGCCCTATTAGATACTGCAGACTAGAAAATTCTCCAATATGTGCACTGGATGTTCTCTCACCAACTGTGGAATATGTATATTTACTATCACACAAAGAACTGATCCTCATTTCTCACTTGTAATCAGTATCATAGTCTTCCACCTTGACTGAAGGGGCTGTGGCTTATCTGGACTCTAAAAATGCATGAGATACTGGTAAATCATTTTGTCACTGAATATCTTTTACCACATTTCCATCCTCTGATTTCAGAGATTTTCTAATTTCTAAATTGTATATAAACTATTTTCTCATTGATTCACCACCTACTGATAGTTCTATATCATGACTACTGGATGGGGAGGGAATGTTCATATTACATTTTTAATTACTGTAGTTTAAAAAAGTCAGACATTATATTTGATAATACTTTCCCTCTATTTGAATGTTTGTTGTTATGGTGATAGCTTCAGGAGGTAACATTAACAAGGATCATTTGAAAGACCTTATGTTTACGACATAATTATTTTCAATACCTTATTAAATATGTTTTATGGCCTCAGTTTTCCTGATGATTGTTTGAATTTGCATTTGTCCTCCTTGTACCCATGACACTCTTAATTTTGAATACAAATAGAGAAAACAATAAACTATAACATGAAATAACAGTAATCCAAAGCATAAAAAGTATACACAAAATTTGCTATTTTTTTCCACAAAGGCACAGCCTTCTATTTTTAAAGAACTAACCTACAATAAGTATTGTCTTTTATATGCTTTTTTGAATAAATATATTGCTCTTTTGTTAGGCACCTACCTTTCTTGTGTTATTTCAAAAGCCCACTTTGAAAGTTTAGGATACCTTTTTTTAGAATTATAAAAACTAGACCAGATATGTTTTCAACTGGATTTCTTTTTTATATTTCTGGAAATCAGCACACATATTTAGAGTGCTTTATGCATGCTATAACAATCACCACACATTTTAAAAACACCTTTTGTCAAGAATTCCTAAGTGTTTTATATACGTAACATCCTATAAGGGGGTAGAAACAGCTTAACTAGACAAGTGAATGCATGTTTCTCATAGCACAAATTAAATGCTTAGACAACACTGAATATCAGTCTTCACAACACAGGAGCCCAGTCTTTTAGAAAATATTGATGAAATAACTTTGTGTGCTTTTCCCCATCTCCATTCATTTATATTAAACTTTTGCAAAGACATAGGCACATGAAAATATAAAGATAATTGGGATAACTCAGCCTATTCCTACCCATAGCTGATACTTATAAAATTAAAAGATACCATCAAATGATTCCAGTCACTTAAATCACAGTTTTTCATGCACAGTGTATAACTACCAGTGAAGGGTATGTGGTACAGAGTAGGCATTTATTGGACCTACCCAGTGTCCTCAAATACAGAGGTACCTGCAAGTTGCCAAAGCAGTTTGGCTCATATCAATTATCAAAACATATAGTTACTTACATATTCTTCATAGGCCTCATGTGCTGGAGGAGGGGGTGGTCTGTAGCCTGGAACTGCTGGAGTTCCCCTTGCTCGAGGGGTCGGAACGCCTCTAGCTACAGGAGGAACTGGGAGTGCTCCACGAGTCACTGGTGTCCCTCTAGGTGTTTGGGCACCTCGCCCAGGTGGGGGAGGAGGAATCGCACCCCCACGTCCTCTAAGAGAAACAAAGATATGTACTTGAGGTGAGGACATAATAGTTATCCAATTTTAAAGGCTCTTATTCTCTTATCACAGTATAACATACCTCAAGTTTTTAGCAACACCTGAGAGTTACATTACTAAGAGCTTTTAGGATACATTTGAAAATGGCTCAAAAAGGAATATGTCAGTAGGTTTCATGAAAAGGTAATAGGTTGCACAGACCTAACAACTTTTGAACCTGATTCCCTTCTTGCATACCCTGGTGCAAATCAGAAGTAATTTCATTCCATAGTGGAGTTGCAGTGATGTAAAAATAGTGTGAGGGAAGAATGAGGCCTTTCACTTGCAGATCTCAAAGCACTTTACAGTGGTGGGCCATAATTATGATGCTCGTTTTACCGCTGGGAAACTTGGCAAACAGAGGTTTAACCCACATTGGGTATGTCTACATTTCAATTTCATTTCAGTTAGAGGGACTCAAGTCAGTCGACCTTGGGTTAGAGAACCCAGGGCTTGAGCATCTGCACTGGTTGCCAACCCTAGGGTTAACAATTTTCTAACCTGGGCCCAAACCCAGGGCTCCAGTGTCAACACTGCAGCATGCATACCTGAGTCCAACCAACCATATCCCCGACTTCCTAGTGCCCTCCTGAAATGTAGCTGCTCTAGCCCTGTGCTTGTGGTTGAGTGTGGGAAACCTCGACTCTCCACCAAATTTGCCTTCTCAGTCTTCTCTTCTTTAGATTAAACAAACACAATTTTTTCAAACTTCTCTCACAGGTCACTTCTCTCACAGGTCATGACCTTCAGTCATTTTTGTTGCTCTCCTCTGGACTTTCTTCCAGTTTGTCCACATTTCCTGAAATGTGGCACCCAGAACTGGACACAATAATTACGTTGAGGCCTTGTCAGCGTGGAGTAGAGTGAAAGATTTATGTCTCGTGTCTTGCTTACAACACTCCTAATGCATCCCAGAATGTGTTTGTAGGGTGACCAGATGTCCCGATTTTGGGGTCTTTTTCTTATATAGGCTCCTATTACCCCCTACCCCCTGTCCCGATTTTTCATGCTTGCTGTCTGGTCACCCTCTGTGTTTGCTTTTTTTGCAATGGTGTTACAATGTTGACTCATATTTAGCTGGTGATCCAGCATAACCCCCAGATCTCTTTCCGCAGTACTCCTTTCTAGGCAGTCATTTCCCATTTTGTATGTGTGTTACTGATTGCTCCATCCTAAGTGGAGCACTTTGCATTTGTCCTTATTGAATTTCATCCTTTTTACTTCAGACCATTTCTCTAGAAAGCTATTAGGTTGGTTTGACACAATTTGTTCTTGATCTTCTTATACTGTTAATTAATGCATTCAACAATGAAAAGCTCTTTGCAAATGCTAAGTATCATTATTATAATGGTTAGGATTACACTTGAAAAATAATGGATGGGGGGGTGCTCAGCACCTCTAAAAACTAGGCCATTACTATTTAGGTGTCTACAGGCCTGACCCAGCTCCAATGACGTCAATGGAGGCTTTTCCACTGACTTCAGTGGGGGACTATATTGAGCCCTAAATATGGATTTACGTGTCTAACTCTAGACATATACATTTGAAAATTTTGTCTTTAATCCCTGTGTAACTGTAGACGAAGAATGTGTGATCCTAAAAGTCTACATCTCATGTGAACCTGTTTTTCTACAAGTTGCTGCTGCTGATACTATAGACTCTGAATAGGTGTGACCTTTATGCAATGATTTTACATTTTCTAGTCTACTGTGCTTTGCCAAATGACTTGAAGTCCAGCTATTTCATTTGCAACATTTTTAGAGTTATTAATTGAAAAAAACTACCTTACAAAATACAAGAGACATTTGTAGGATGTAAATTAGTTAAAGGAAGTCATGGGGCATGTCACTCACTGAAGTCAACAGAACGACACTAATTCGTAGCAGTTGAGGATCTGGCCCCACATTTCAAATTTGCCATTTGTGTATTTTAAATTCTATTGCTGAAGGGATATTGCCCAAAATGTTATAATGTTTTTCATGTTTTTATTTTAATTCATTGTTTTCAATATTTTCTTCATAGTTTGAAAATGATTTAGCAATCCATGATGAATGGACTGGAATTCTGGCCAAGGAGGAATAGAGGAATAGAGAAGAACAATTACTTAACACCGTTGAAATGAGATCTTAATGGAAAAGCTGTGGGAGTATCACCTGAGATGGGAGTATCATGTGAGATGATGAGACATGGGATATGTTGGTCAGAGTACAAAATCTAGTAATCATGGATGCCGACTATGAGGAAGACCAGAAAAAAGGTGGTTTGAGACACTGAAGGAGGATATGAACAAGGTCACTGTCGGAAGACAGGATGCTGGGCTAAATGGACCATTGCCATTCTTATCTTCTTATGGCTTTGTGCTTGGAAGACAAAGAACACGAGCTGCCAAAACGGACAAACAGGACATGGTGCAGGCAAAAAAGAAGAGGTTTGAAAATGTTCTTACCCTTTCTGTTAGAGTCCTTTTTGATTTATCAGACATTGATTTCCCCCCCTCCATATTTTATAAAGTAAAAGCCAATATGGGTCTGCTCTATTTACTTCCTTGTTTGTGAATCAACAGAATCAATTATGTCAACACTGCCCTGAGAATGGGGTTTGGTAGTTAACTTTTGGTTTCCTTTGTGTGACATTGCAGTAACAGTGTAAAAAGTCTTGCATAGACAGTAACTATTGTATTTCCGAAAATTTATTGACAGGATGGTCGGCTTTTAAGCTATATTTAAAGCCTGGAAAAATACCCCTCACCAGATTGCATTAGTGGGGAAAGGTGAATTTTGCAAGTTAAACCATTTAACAATATCCTTTAAAATAACTGAAAATTCATGTCCTTTTCACTGCCTCTTAGTCAAATCAAAAGAATACTATGACAAGCAAGATTTTAATATGCTGATTCCACATTTTCGGCAGGGGCAAAAATCTGCAGAAAAAATGATGGTGTTGTTTCCATATAACGCAGGACAGAGAAGGGATATTGGAACAGTCCAGGAAGAGGTCTGCTTTAATGTTACAGTATCCCAACTACAATAATATGAGCTGGAGGAGGCAGACCTTAACAAATACAACACTTTGAGAAAAAAATCAATATTATTTAGTATTTTATCACATGTAAGATTGTGCTAAGTGCCTCACAATATAGATAATTAAATGTGATCCCTCCTCTTAATGAACTAAAGGGAGAGTAACAAACAGTATGGGGACCTTTGGAGAACAAAGGACATAGACAACATGAATCAAATTAATGGGTTAATGAAGATTAGTCCACAACATGGTGGATGACAGAGGATGAAGTTTCTTTGCTTGCTTGCTTGTTTTTTAATTAAAAACAGACCTATATTAATCTCCATCCAGAAATGAATTTATGTTGGCACAGGGTCAACCTGGGTTAAATTATTGCCTTTAGATGGCTAATTTCCGGTGGGCTTAACAGTGGAAGTGGGTCTTAAGGAGCAATACAAGTTAAAACATATAGTGAGCAAAGTCAGTGTGATACATAGTTTCAGTAAAAATATGAAAATATCATAGAGAATCAGGTAATACTTAGAAGGATTGTGCAAGCCAGTGTTTAGGACACAAATTCTAACTACTCCAATTAGAACTGATACTATATTCACCTCTACCCCGACATAACGCGACCCGATATAACACGAATTCGTATATTCACCTCTACCCCGACATAACGCGACCCGATATAACACGAATTCGGATATAAAGCAGTGCTCCGGTGGGGGGGCTGTGCACACCGGTGGATCGAAGCAAGTTACATATAACAAGGTTTCACCTATAACGTGGTAAGATTTTTTGGCTCCCGAGGACAGCGTTATATCGAGGTAGAGGTGTACAATAAATAACATGTTATTTGTTTTTATGGAATTAACAATGCCTATAGCACAGAATGCATTCATTTAGTCCATTAGTGAATTTGCAGTGATAATGGCTCAGACCTTCCAATCCAGATAAACAGCTCACACTGAAGAGTGGTGGTGTGTGTGTGTGTGTGTGTGTGTGTGTGTGTGTGTGTGTGTGTGTGTGTGCGCAAAGAGAGTCTTTCAGTTTCCTCAATCTGGAACAGGCTGCATACTCTAGTAAGGCTGCTCTGAGTTACACCTGCTGTCAAGTACCCCAAGATGATTATCTGTTAGTTGGGACTCAATAGGACTTAACTTAGCTCCAGCCATGCTGCCTGTAATGGTGAAACTGACTTTGTCATTGGAGAAATCCCTTACCTTGGATGATTCTTCCACAGCCAGATACACTGGCACAGCAAGACTGGCAGCATTATGGCCCTACCATCTGTGAATTGTGGGTCATAGACTCGGGACTATGTACCAATGTTGAGGAGAAATATATTTTGGCTTACTGACCATGTTAATAATCAGATTATAAAGATCATACGTGTTTCAACAGGCTATGCTTTCAAAGTCTGGCTCCATAAGAAAACAAAGTACCTTGATGGAGCTGCAGGTGGTACCCGGATTCCTCTTCCACGAATGCCCCGTCCACGTGCTGAATCTTCAGAACCATTCAAGTATGACAATTCTCTCAACTGCTCCTGACGGATTTCATCATTGTAGTCCTGAAAGGTAGAAGACAGAACTGTCTGAGGTTTTGGTGTCTAGATTTGGCCTTCCTGTCAAACCATCCTAAACCCAAACTCTGTGTGGTCACACACACCTTTGCACACGCAAATCACTTTTGTTGCAGTTTTCTTGCACTACCACATATGTGCTGAAATGATAGAAATTCTATGTGCAGCAACTACTTGTCCCTGCTTTGTGTATATACATGGGGACTGTGCATGTAGTTTCTAATACTTGGGAGCATGGATGTAAATGCATTCACAAAGTTACTTACACATTACTTATCATGGTTTGTAAATCTGTCTTTTGAGAGCTACTTCATATGAAGGACAAAGTGTAAAAGGGTATTCACATACAATGGTGCTGATCTCAAATAGTGCAATGGCATAAAAAAATCTAGTAATATACATCATTTCTGGGGTATTTATTAATTGCTTATTTTTAAAAATCCCTGTCTTCTACTATCTATTCCAAAACACAGATGCCATTTTGACATTATTCCCTGGCAAATTAAATTGGATCAACCTGACTGGATAATTTAATCATGCCTACCAGTGGATGTGGGAGTCTTAAGTTGAACCTCCACGTCCATACATCTTTACTTATTTTTTCTCCTGAGTAAAAACAGACTTTATGTTACTCCATATATCTTCTTAGCAGGAGAACTAAATTGAGCTCTCTTTAGAGCTCAGAAATGGCACTGCTAAGTAATAAACAGGTATCTCATGATACAAGGAAGACCCACTTAGCTGAGATCTTAGGGAACCAACTCCACAGTTTTTTCTGGATCAGTAAGCAGATCAAATGAATTTCAGTTTTTACTGATACAATATTATATAACATGTCCATCATAGACATTTTATATTTAGTCCACAGTTTTTATTTTCTTAGTCTCAAGGAGAATTCTTTTTTTCTCTAATCCCCTTGCTTTTGTAGCTAACTCTTGTGCCTGCTGCTAAGGATATAAAACTCTAATGCAGTTGCTGGCTTTCTGACAATAGAGTGTGCAACAGTTAATTAGTATTTCAAACCAGAAAAGATTATTGAATTTCAGCCCTCCAGTTTTTCCATCCTTGAGGAAGCAACTGATCTGACGAACAACAGCATTGACTGGTATATGAGGATCAGAAAACACAGCCTGGAGTATACCACAAATGGCACTTCTTTTTAGCAGAGTTTAAAAAAAAATCCTAGTAGTCATTTGTGTACATAATTAGTACTCCCTTCACTGACTGAGCTCCACAAGCCAGCCGATAGACACATGGAACCAGGACTCTGCTCCTTCCCTGCCCTTCCCCACACTAGCTTTGCCTACTGTCCAAGGAAGGAGTAAGCCATCCTGTTGCCCCCCCCGCCTCTATTCCTGAGAGTTTGGACCCAAGATCTAGGTAGTCTGCTTAGGGACATAAGGGGGATTCTTACTTCCTTGTACGAGATTGTACCCCAGAACACAATCTAACACTAAATTTCCAGTGAGTGGCGCTATAATAAAACGTATTAATGGAATTCTAACTGTAAAGGAAAACACCTTTTTGCTCTTATTATTAAAATCAAACCCAAATAATGGTTGTCAAGTCACACCAAGCCCCAAATCTTATTGCACAGTGTTCCTTCATTATGTCATTAGTAGTATTGCACCAAAGCATCCTGCTAGATCAACCTGCTGTGTAATAGATGGTAGGAAAACTACACATAGCGTCCAACAGGTAACATTTACAGATATAACCAGACACCTTCCACTGTCCATTGAGTAATGTTATGCTAACCACTTGTGATGATGACAATTTATTTCAACATTAAGACATCAACCTAGAGAATTTGGTTTGCTCCTGAATTCCCAGAGAAATGCTGAGGGGTCTCAAACACAAACATAAATTAACCTTATACAAAATGAAAGGCAAGTTGGGATGGAAGAGATGCAAAAGACAGTGAGGAAAGGAGGCTGACACATTCTGGGATACTGCTTACAAGTATCCCTCCCTAGAGACATAGCTGTGCAGAAAGAAGCTCCTCAACTCAACTAGTATCAAAACCTGTAGCTAATGTATTTGGAAGGATATCCTGAAAGAGACTGATTTTAAAAGTTATAAATTCTACAGAGATCATTTATCATATGTGCCCTTTACAAAGCCTAATAAAAATGTAATCTTCTAAACCTGAAGTCTGAAATTTTAGACTGTGATGCTTACTTCAACTCCCTCATTAAATAGGAATTTAGCACTGAATTAATCTTTCATAACTACTACATGAGTCTAGCTAGCAATAGAGTATCTGCTGAATATTTAATTGTAGCTGAGTTCAGTGCCTAGCATTTGAAGAAAAATTATGCTGCTGGTGCTTCAGATACACCTAATCCCAAGTGACTATACATGAGTGAACACAAGATGTTGCACGTAAGACATACCTGTTCTGAACAAAGAATAATGAGGTATTTACATACTTTATATAGCATTTTAGAAAACCCTCACCCCCACATTAAAATAGACTCCTGAGTGGTAGGTGTTTTGTCCAGTACTAGTCTTTTTTTCACTAATTATGAAACCTCATCTCTGATACTCTAATTTAATCTATATCTTTTCCTGATAGATCCATGTTGTTTATATCCTTAAAATATTACTGATGTCCAGTCAGTCTGTCTCGCTGAAAATAATAAGAGTACCATCTGCTTTATGCTAGAAATTATGGACATTTGCTTAAACACTAGACATCTGAATACTTAGGCTTCTACACAGGTACCTTGATTTTCAAAGGTGCTGAAAATCCCAGTACATTCAAAAGAACTCAGTATTTCTGTAAATCGGGCCACAAATGTCTATGGATGGATTATTAGGCAACATATATGAATTTTTGATCACTGACTTCAGCAATCACTCACTCATGAAGTGTATGAACACAGTTGTCTAAAACTATCAAAATAATTTATTTGATAATCACATCACAGCTAAGGATGTGTGAACCCATTTACATTAAATAAGAACCAACCAAAGCATGTACCTGAAACTCAACCCAAACCTCTTTGCAGATTTTTTAGATCTTGAAACATGCACACTGAGAGATTCCCCGAACCTCTCTTTTATTCATTCTGCACCTAATAAGATACTATTACTCACATTCACTACACAGCTAAGTTAGCCATGCATGTATGTGCAGTCCAGCCTACCTTTCACTATAAATATTAGTAAAGCTAGACTAGCACTCAGAGCTCTTGATTCTGCAAACACCTATCTACTAGTACCTAGCAGCCAAGTCACTTGACCTCTCTTAGCCTTAGACTATATTTTAAAAAGAGAAATAATGCCTTGTACAGAGCTATTTCATTTTTAAATCTCAAAGGGCTTTACAAAAGTAAGCATCAGTAGCCTCATTTTACAGCTGGCCTAAGTATGGCAGTTTAACAATCTGTAAGAGAAGTATTACAATCTAGTGTATTAGGTATAAGGGGAGCAAAATCACAAAGTCAGACTTAAATGTGAAGAGGCTGTCACTTCTCCACAATAAATCAAACACCTGCAGAGCCAGGAATAGAAATCTGGGCTTACATCTCAAAAAACACAGACCCCTATTGCACAAACCAATACAAAAAACCCTCTCAGCTACAAAATATTCGTTTGCAGCTTTATACAGCCAATAGAGAGCAACATGTTTACATACACATTTAGTGCCCTATTCTGTGTTATTCTATTCTTGTGCTCAGCAGAGAAATAGGAGAAAAAGGGAAAGATGGATTTGTACTTCCTATATTCCTAGGTTATGACTGGGGCCTGCCTGCTTCCAGAATAACAGCTTCAGGATATCCACTGGATATTCCATTCAACTGTCTGAGTGTCTTAACCATTCATTAGCTGAGGGAAGAGGGAACCAGCCCGCCCTTGCCAATAGATGCAGCCTGCATGTATTTGGCCTACATCTTCTAAATGGCCACAACAGCAAAGCAGGGAGTCACAAAGGCACCACATATAGTCATTAGCAGCACATCTGATCACTGCACATCTGAAGTGATTGAGCTTTACGTAAAGATGGTGTGGAAGGTAAAACCAGGGGGCTGTCACAAGATAGGCATTGGCTATGTTTGAAACTTGTTCTTGACATCAATTAGGCCACCCAGTGGAGATTTTGAGGTTCCTCAGTGCAGAGGTTCTCAATCAGGGGTACATGTACACAGAGGTCTTCCAGAGGGTACATCAATTCATCTAGATATTTGTCTAGTTTTACAACAGGCTGCATAAAAACCTCTAGCGAAGTCAGTACAAACTGAAATTTCATAGGGACAATGACTTGTTTATGCTGCTCTATATACTATAAACTGAAATGTAAGTACAATATTTATAATCCAATTGACTTATTTTATAATCATATGGTAAAAATGAGAAAGTAAGCAGTATTTCAGTAATAGAATGCTGTGACAATTTTGTAATTTTTTTGGTCTGATTTTGTAAGCAAGTAGTTTTTAAGTGAGAAGAAACTTGGGGCACGCAAGACAAATTAGACTCCTGAAAGGGGTACAGTCATCTGGAAAGGTTGAGAACCACTGGGGAAATTGTCCAAACAGGGTGTCTTGAGCAAAGATGGTGGCTCAGTGGATTAAACACATCTTTAAACAGAGATAGATGTGGCATGTCTTGCTTTAGGGAGAAAATTCTGTAGATAATAACTTACAAATTAGCTGACAGGAGCACTGTATCTAATTCCTATATAAAAGAAAGAAAATTAAATAAATATTAGACTCACTTAGCTCTAATACTAACACGTTCTGACATCTGTTGTCAAATCACTGGTTAGGTTTAAAATTTTAATGTATATTCTTACTTTGTTACTAACTCTGTGGAGAGAGAGACCCTGTTCTATCCCAGCTCTGGGAGGGGAGTGGGGTCTAGTTTGTTACAGCGGGGGATGATACATTTGGGTTATATATAAGAACATCAGAATGGCAATACTGAGTAATACCAATGGTCCACCTAGCCCAGTATCCTGTCTTCCAACAGTGTGGCCAATGCCA